GACATACATTTGGTCTGTCCAAATGTTTATTTAGTTTAAGCAGTTAATATCATTAGTGATTTAGGCTTTTTCACTTGGTCTGTCTTTGGTAAAATTTGGCTGGTGCTGATTTTTTGGTTGTCCTGGCACAACTAAAAAGTTGATAACATCCATCTAAGAGAAGGCAGTGATGTGATAAGCATTTGGGACAGGGTGGAGAGGTTCTGTTCAGCATAGCTGGAAGAGCCCATAGGACCACAGTCTGAAGGAGCAAAAGTAATTTTTCTCTTTTTTGTCCTTTTCCAGGAATGTTCACACAGTTTCTGATTGGGCTCAGTGTTGCAGGGGGCCTTTATTTTGCCTACCTGTATTAAAACTCTTGTTTTCAGCAGTTTCTCCAGATTAACAAGTGAGATCAAAATAATCAGGCAGCAAATCAATAGGTTTGCTGAGCTTAATAGAAAAAGGTCCTTTATCTAGACACTGACTCCTTTTCCAATAAAAAAAGCCTATTAAAATGATACTAACATTAGCAGTATGGGAAATCACTTGTGCATACAGGTTGATGAAATGAAGCATATGGTGTGTCTTGACTTGCCATTTTCAGTTCTTCTGGGAATATCGTCATTAACCAACCATCAAGTCTCAATACCAAGCCTGTAAAATGATTGGCATTTATAAAGGTAAATATTGCACAGTGACTGTTCAAATGCTTCCTCTGCTACAAGAGCTGTTGCAGCTGCTGCAGACAGTGATGTGTTGCCAGCACTGACACAGAAGAGTACTGAATAAAGTCATAATAAACTGGGTCATAGATTCAAAGAAAAGGCTCGAAACATGGGTCCCAGGAAAAGAAAGAAACATTTGAAGAAAATCTGAAAAGGAGTTAAGGAAAAAACCAAACTTTAAATATTATGAAAGGATTGCTGGAATTATTGTTATAAAGGAATTTTTTAGTCTTTATTTGCTTAGCCAAGAAGTATGAAAAGCACCAATTCTGGTTTTGCTAGGGCAGCTCTTCTGAGTCACAGAGGATGTGTGGCTCTACCATTGTCAATCTTAGCTGCTCAGACTGGGAGAATATCTTTCTTTCTCCAGGCAATGTTAATTAAGAAAATTTAGTGGGCTGTACATACATACAAATTGCTTTAATGCTATTCTGAGAAAATTCAATATAAGCGCTGCTGAATTAGACAATATGTATTATTATCAATATTTAAGGTGACTTTTCTCTGTTCAAACCTAATTTGCTAGTAGTAACTGAAAAACAATTAACATTTTTTTCCCTAGGGGAAAATGATAAAGATAAATTTGATATTCTATAGGTTTGCTTACCTTGTGTGTGTTTTCTTCCTCTCTCTTTCTCTTTTTGCAGGAGAATTAACCCTCCAGTAATTTAGAAGGTCCTCATTTGTAAGTCGAATAAAAGATAGAGTATCATGTGACATACACAACCTGTCAACAACTCAAGCATTTAGAAAATTTTATGCCTAATCCGTGGTCTCAGATCAATCTACAAAAATATTAGCTAAATTATTTATAATAATTGAATTTCATAAAATTAGAATGAAATATACGCCATAATCTCTTTGTTTGCAGACAGCTTGAGAGGAGAAAAGTGAATTAAATTTAGCAAATAAATTATCTCTAACCAGTTTTTTAGCTCTAACAATTATAGTTGCTGCTCTTTCTCTGTTCTTTTTTGGTCTCTTGACTACAATAAAGCTCATTACACTGTGTGGATTTTCAAATGTACACATAAAGAGAAAATGTACTCTTGTCTGTGAAGTGAATTTACCCCAGATGACACAATTTCTAGTCTAATAGTTCCTTATCTTGCAGTTTATTAGATGTTTGAATAGTCTGCAGATTTGACCATGGATTTCTGAGGTTTTATATTCTCTAAAGTGAGCTCTTTAAAATGGCACATTGACAAATGATAAAGTAGTGTGTCTAACACAAACCAAACATCAAAGTTTTGCAAATGTTTATTCCATCAAATATTCCATCAAAATATACTTATTTTCATAGGAAAAAAGAACTGGAAAACCTTTTGTGTGCTAACCATATATACTAACATGCTTTTATCTGTGGCTGGTTCCTCCAGGTCATAGATGACCCATAGCACATGCTGCCCCCGATTTATTAAGTCAGTAAGTTAATAAGTACTAAAAGTTTGTTAACCATCAAACTTGGTGCAAGTCAGACCCAACAATCCTTCTGGAGACAGCACAAGTCGAGAAGCCAGCAGAATATTGTCTGTAGTTTTCCAATATTCCTAATTCTCCTTTTCAAGAGTGGATCACTGACAACAGATTTTTTTGGAGATGCTGATGATCATGCTACTAAATTAGTCATTCTCTGGAAAACTCTTTTCTCTTAAAAAGAAATTATGCGAACAAGTATCTGACAAGAGCTTTCTCACGTGTTTCCGATAAAATAACTGTGTTTGTTTTAGCTGGAGTAGAATTCATTTTCTCCACAGTGACTGTATGTGACTGTGTTTTGGATTTGTGCTGAACACAGGGTTGATAATATAGAGATGTTTTTGTTATCACTGAGCAGGGCTCACACAGAGCCAAGGCTTTCTTGTTTTTCGTCCTGCCATGCTGGTGAGGAGGCCGGGAGTGCATGGGAGGGTGGGAGGAGACACAGCCAGGACAGGTGACCCCACCTGATCAAAGGGATATTCCAGACCATGTGGCATCATGTTCAGTATATAAAGTGGGGGGAACATTTGGAGTGATGGCATTTTTCTTCCTAAGTAACCACTACAAGTACTGGGGCCCTGCTTTCCTGGGGATGACTGAACACCTGCTGCCCATGGGAAGCACTGAATTCATTCCTTGTTTTGCTCTGCTGGTGAGCAGGGCTGTTGCTTTCTTTATTTCTCAACCCACAAATTTTCTAACTTTTACCAGTTTCATTCTCTCCTTCATCTTGCTGGTGAGGGGGTGAGTGATCAGCTCTGTGAGGCTTGGATACTGCCTGGGGTTAAACCTCAACAATCAGGCATTAATATAAGCATAATCATTTGCAAGAACTAGCAGCAATTTTAGGATAAATTTTCACATTTTGTGAGCTTAAAATATTTTATTACTGAGAGACACAGGGGTCTGTATGTTTCGTACTTCCGTCTGTGTTTTCCAGTCATCTCCTAACTGTGTATATTTTTAATACATTTTATTTAATAAGTGTAACAAATTCATTTTATTCAGACATGATGATATAACTTTACCAATCCAATTAAAGCTGGAAAAAAGGAGTGATCAAATTAATATCACAATTAAGGTAAATTAAGAGTTCAAATTAATGGTATTCAATCATCAAATTAGCCCAATAGGTAATAAAATAAAATGGTTGTGTTGACACTAAACTCTAATTTTTTTGATTTAGCTAAGGAAAACATAAAGAGCCTCTTCTCGTGCAGTTCTGCACTCCATCTGGAATTTCAGCCATTCCAATGTATTTGCTCTGCTGTTAAATTCACTAAGCCACTGATAACCTTGACTCCTTGTGAGGAAGTATAGCTTTTCAAGTGCCTCTTTCAGATTTTTTCCTTAATATCATTGCCTCATTTTCCCATTTCACATTATAACTTAAGAGTGAAAATGTAGATATGATGATTAAAAGGCACAGTGTAGCAGTTTTTGACTAACATGACCTTTCTGTCTAGAAGTTATAGAGCAATCAATAACAAGTAGGTTATTATTTTTAAGACACTGTTAAAGGTGTGGTTCACAAACACACATGCTCTCAAATTCACATGTACAAATATTAATGAAAAACGAGAAACAAAAGTTGAAGAACAAATTTAAAAATTTTCTGTTTCTAGTGATTCTTTTTAAAGTGGATGGTCATATATTATTTACAATTTTAAGCTCAATATTTGAGCTTATGCTGTGTCTTATTAAGTTGCAAGCTGGTTAAACTCATCTTTGTGACACAAATCTTTCATCAGTTCTTCAGCCGGAAAACCTGTCCAGGAAAGAAGCTGTGACTGGTGGAGCAAGAGAACTGCTATTCTCTGTTTCATCTCTACATAAACCTTTAAGGGTTGCTGCCCTCTTGGTCTGGCAGAGCAGCTTCATATAGTGTGAATTACGATGGGAAGACTTCAAGACTTCTCAGCACTCAAGAGTTTTCATCATTGTTGCTACCTAGTCCCTTCCAAACCATCTTTGCATCTTTAAATCATGCTGGAAATTCCATCACAAATAACACTAGATTTTAACAATTATTAACCCCAGTAGAAATGAGATGATAATTCATAAATCTATAAAGCAAAAAAAGTGGAAAGTCTCTGTGCCAAGAATGTAATGTCTGTTTTTCCACTGAGGAAACAGGAAATAAGTGCAACACTCACAAAAAGCCAGAATCACATATTGTGAAAGTGTTGAATGTCTGATATATCACAATTTTCTTTAGGAACCTTAATTCAGTGTTCTAAACATTGTAGAAATATTGTGGCTTTTTTAACTGAAAGAGAATAGCAGAGCTGATTTCAACATAGTTTTATTTAATATTTTCCCTTAAATTCAATTGCTTACATTGAAACTAATCCTACAAGTTAATCCAAATCTGGAACCAAGTTTGTCATTCTTTCCTAAGAGATTCCATCTGTGATGCTCATTTCTACCCTTCTCATTCCCTGTATTTCATTTCTCAAATAGCCCTTGGGGTCTATTTTCTTGAGAGTAAGATATGTTTAAAATATATTCCCTATAGGTCATTAAACATCAATTTTGGGAAGGAAAATTTCTGATGAAGTGAGCATAAGCAATTGATAGATCTGTGTGGGCAAGGAGGTTGTTTAGCTGTAAATTGCAGAACCACAAAGGGAATAAATACTTCTTAATGCAGGCATTTAGCATGTTTAGACTTGTCATCTCTGGTTCTGTTGGTATTTATTGAATTAATAAAAAATACTGGTGTTCTTCTCACTTTCACATTTCAAAATACACTGATAATTTAGTTACATGGTTCTGTTTCCATATGATTTCTGATTCTGAATTTTTCAGGTGGATATTTTTCAAGTGGAGGCAGTAGATATTGGTATTCTGCAAAGAATGGTTGTTGAAAAAGGAAGAGGCTCTGACTGGCTTCTGGAGAAGATTGTTGTAAAAGAGTCAGCATCTTCAGGGACAGAAATATTGTTTATGGCTCAAACATGGCTTAAAGATAGACGTGATGGAAAAAGATCTGCCTCAGTAACTCTGGATGCCACAGGTCACACTCTCTTCAAACTATCATCTGTTAAGAAATTCATTCCAAACTGGAGAATGCAGCCATATGATTTGCTTCTACAAACAAATTGTGATTTAAAATATTATAGTAGAACATTGTCATTATACAGGGAATTAGTGTGTCTAGCACTTTGTGTTTTAGTACCACTTAATAACCCCTATTTGCCAGAGGATAATTTCTGCTTTGTTACTTCAGATTTTCAGTGGTATAAATGCCAAGAAATTTGTCCTATTCCTTTTTATAAATTCCCACGTCTCCAAGTCTTACTTCTACACTTGCAAACTATTTTTTAAGCTTCTAATACCAATTACTTGCTAGGCAGAGTCATGAGGTAAAGAAAACGAGGTAAAAAGTTGGGGAAACTCTGTGTAAGCAATGGAGAAAATATCTCCACTGTATCCAGGATGACTAATTTACATTATTTATGCTACACTCTTTGGACAGCTTTTGCCAGAAACTGGAGATACTTCTGACTGACACCATGTGAGTAATCAGGCCACAGAGGAGCAGTTTTGACCCCATTGCCTGTGGCTCTTTGTCAAGGCAGGAATGGGACCTACACCCTCCCTCCCTCCCTGTGTCATGGTTTCAATCCAAGCATGGATTTCAATACAATCTGGTGTGCAAGCTGGGAGGAACCAAAACACACTCCAACCAACCAGACCAGTAGGCACTAAAGCCCAGAATGTACCTCTAAGACAGATGTATTTATTCTCCTGCCTCTCAGAGAAGTTAATTGACAGTATAGACGAGTCCTTAGATTACAAAACATGTTTTAGGGTTTTTTTTCCTAACTCCCCAGGCATTTGCTGGCACTTGTCCAGCAATAGCCTCTTGGGACTGAAGAATATTCTAGTTCAATCGATTTCCTCTGCTGTATGATCTCTGACTTTTGATCATTTGAAACCAGAAAAAAAGGGAGGAAACTGTTAGTGTGCAAAAGCAAATAATTTCAGCTTTGGTTTAGTTTATGTGTTGGGATTTCTCTGAAAAAAAAAAAGGAATATTTAGTTCTGTTTTGACTAGACTTAATTGATTTGGACAAATGTTCTTGTGAGTTTCTTTATACAATAATTGGCAAATCCAATCATGGTTATGAACTCAAAAGGAGTCTTCTTATTTTCAGTTCAGGTCACTACCTAATGCTTACAAGCAGCTTTGATCTATACCAAATCCCAATGAAATCAATGGAGACTAATATCTGTGGGAGGAACATTCGCCTCTAGAATGGGCATTAAAGACATCCAATTAGTGCTCATTCATACAGAGCATAAATTGTACAAATGAAACAGAAATGCTTTAAAATAAAAAATACTCAAATCTTCATGTTACTACCATTTTCCTAGTAAAGTGCCAGCCCTAGAGACAGTTTATTTAACAGGATGATATTTAGATGATGCTTAATTAGAAAATCACACTGTACATATCCTAGTTAAATCTTTAATATAAATGATATAATAGCCAATTGCCTTACTAGACATGGGTACAGGCCTTTATTATAATATAGACACTTCTCTACAAAAATATTAATTTTATCTTTTTTTTTTTAATTAGAAGTTCAGGAGAGGAGGAGTACCTCTGCCTGGCCTTTAGGAAGAGAGCAAATGAATTCAGGTATAGCTTTTGTCATTATTTTGACTGCTTCATTAATCTGTTTTGAATAATAATGTGACAATATTTTCATCACAAGATATTATTATACTTACCAGTACTGAAAATAGTAACAGTAAGAAATGGCAATAAACAGGGAGCTGCTCAATACCCAGGTGACATGCTTATAAAATAATGCTCCCCATGTAGAACAAGGCATGTCTTATAAATTTTATATCAGATAGTTTTGTTAATATATGAAAACAGAAACATCCTTAATATTTTTTCCTTTTTATTTTCCTTATTTTATTTGTTCAGAAGGCAGATGGAGGATTTATTTCACAAAGCATCAAGAAGAAACAAAATCTGAATTTGAAAAATTGTCAGAAAATATATCCAAGATGGTTATGGTTTTTTATGGAAGCAACGGCAAGTCAAATCCAGTTTCCATGGAAAACAAAGTGGAACATCAGACTGAGAACCAAATAACATATGATGTAAAATAATATATAGATTTGCATATATTGAAATTTTCTTTGAGTTTCCTTTTAAAGAGAAATAATCATGTAGTGCTGTAAATATTGGAGGTATTATTGTTTAAATATTAAAGCAAACCAGAGCTGAAGTTTTCAGTTGCATGTCAGATTTCATTTTTAATTTCTGGCTTTCTCGAGTTCATGATGATCAAGCATATTATTTTTTTCCCCAACAAATAGTCATAGTTAATAATGCATATCATTTTAAATGACATTAACATTACTTATTCACATTAGAAATCATTGCTGTATGTAATTTGAATTTGATAGAACAATTACAATGAATGCCCCTAGAGGATCAAGCTAAAATGTCCTTAAGTGCCTACAGTCAACCTGATTCTGCTGCTTTTGAAGTGAATGGGACTTTTAGCACCAAGACTGATGCAAATGGGTCCAGGACTGTGCTGACTCCTTTAGAGCCAAGTTCCTCTCTTCCTCTAGATTACCTATTTATCTGTATACCTCTGTTTGGATGCTAACTCATTGTTTTGTTGATTCCTAGATACATTTGCCATCCAATTTGGGAACGCTTTATAAAGTGAGACTTGGTCTCCAGAGTTTGGAAAACAACATATCCCAGTTGTCTCTTCGTCACTTTAAAATACAGAACATATCAACTCTGGACACCTTTAGTCTCACCATAAATAAAACACTTCCTCTTTCTTCTAATGGAGACAGATGGATTGAATTCCCTATACAGTGGCCATTAAAAGAAGCATTTTCTGGTAGGTATAAATCTGCTTCAAAGCAGTGGAGTGGTTCAGGAGGTTAACATGTCCTAGTACTACAGTAGAAACCTTTATCAAAACAGAAATTTTCATTGTCTTTATTTAATGATTCATAGAGACTGGATAAGAATTTAAAATGTATGAAGGAAAATATTACCCACTCAGCTTAATTTCTGTACCATAAAGTGGAAAATGTAATATTCATTTGATTGCACAGAAGCATTATTATAAGCTACAAAGAACAGTTTATAAGAAATATCCTTTTCTTGCAATATTGTAATATTTCTATTCTCTTTTGTTGAGTCCTCAGCTGCTCATTTTACTGATATTAACAATATGATTTTTTATAGCTCATTTACTATTAAATGATTTTGGTGTTTGTTTGCACATTCCAAGCAAATATTCTCAGTAAATAACAGCTCAAAACTACATATAAGCTTCAGCTTTATTACCTTTATGCACTCCAAATATTTATGCCTCCTAAAATTAGCTCAACAATTCTTACATTTGTCACCTTGGTTAAGTAAAATAAAAGAAATCCTTTCACCTAAAACCCACCCTTTCCCCTAAGTGATGCTTACTGAATGCTGCCATATGATGGAACAAATACTAACTTAATTAACAGACCAAATAATGATACTTATTTGTGCCTAAGGTTGTGCAGAAAACAAATTAATTATTTGATAAAAAAATAAGTCAGCTCATCTAAAGTGAGCTGAAGTAGACATAAAATGAACTATCCCAAAACACTTTGGGCTGGAACTTATGGCCCAGTTTCAGTGAGGTCTCTGAATGCATCCAAAAATAAGTATGTGAATAATCTCCATAGAAGTAACAGAGATTGAGGTTTGGGATTTTTTTTTCATATTTTGGCTGCAATTGAAAATCTAAAATTTGTATCTAGGCTTTAGACTTTATATTGTTTAGAGGCGTTATTTTCACTTGACCACTTACAGAGTATGGGTACAGAACAGGTCTCAATGGCTTTCTTCTCCTACACACAAGACTGAAACAGAGGACCTTCAGAGTAACACAAAGCACATGAGGGTAGCCCTTGCGAAGGACTGATCTCTTTTTCATGCAGAAGTATTCAGGATACAGTTACAAGCACACAGAAAGGAGGAGAGAAAGATGCAGCATGGGTGATAAAGGGGCGGTGAGACTGGAGTCCTTGTAACCTTAGCTCTATCACTGATTTCTTCCTTGAAAGAATAATTTCCCCATTCTTTGCTTGTTTTTCTCTTTTTTATAATACTTTTATTTTTTGTAAATATTCTGAAATCAAGAGATTAAAAAATCACAAGCAAGGAATAGGTTATTATATTATCTATAAGTTTAGGTAAAGGAACAGAAAAATGAAATAGCTAATTTCTATGGTTTTTATTTCTTTCCACCCATGCTTTAGATATCTTCAAGGAGGGATTTGTAACCAGTTAAGAAAAAAAAACTAGGACAGTTATTCCCCCAAATCTTTGCCATTTATGTCCAAGAGAGCTCTAAGCAGCTTCACAGCAGGTGGTACACGTGGAATTCAAAGTGATCTTTACAGACAAATTTACTCACAATTTATTGTGAAAACCAGATATGTTTTTTGACAGCTTTCTAAACCTAATTTATTTTCTCCCCTTTCTCAGCTAAAAGCAGAACCAGTATTGTATTAATTGGAATGAAAAGCAGCTAATCACACTCATCATAACCAGAAGCCATGTGATGCTAAATTTCAGATCCAGTTCTGTCATTCCTAGAGAGCCTTAGTATTTTATCTCAGTTATATTTTCCTTTTAAAAAAATCTTCTGCTTGGGATTGTGATGAAGCGTTTGCTAATGGCTAATTGAAGCCATCAAAATGCAGTTGATAGAGTATGGACCCTCGAGATCTGGCAGTGCACGCTCGTGCCTTTGGGTGTATTAATGAGCAGAGGCCTCCAGCTGAGTATATACATAAGTAGTTTCCCTTTACTACTCCTTCCTTTGAGATGTTTATACCTCAGGAATCCCCAGGGATGACTGATGGTGCTGTCTCTCTCCTCTCACACACAAGAATGTTCAGAAGGTAAATTTTGCACTACTGTAGTTTTTAAGGCAAAACAAATATTGAAAAGGTGAAAAAAATCCTATTATGCTACTTTCAAGCTGATTATTCCCATACATTTAACAGAAAGCTATAATTCAAATTGATATTATGAAATAATTAGAATTTTATAAAATTAATGGAGTTGTAACATTCATGTATGTTACCCTTGTATATAATTTCTTTCCAGAGATTCCTTTAATCCTTTCCCTTTCCAATTTATTCCATACACTAGAGAGATAAAAGCTTGGTTGCCACACTTGTGATCTGATTGCACTACCCAAACAAAGACCACTATTTAAGCATTTTAGCCCTCCTACCCTTGCCTACATTAATCTCCCCCAATGGCCCTCCTTTGTACCATGCACTCTCCTGCTGCTATCCGCTGTATGATCTGATCCAAAGTTCATGAATGCAGCCTCTCTACCTGACTCCAGTGCATCAGGGCCACGATGAGCCTGCAGCTCCAACTTGCCTTGGCTGGGCTCATCTGGAACCTCCAGCCAGGATGGGCTGAGGATGTCCTGATCAGATCATGCTTGAGCTACACCCTAATGTGCATCTTTCTCTAGTTCTCTCTCTGCCCCCCTCTTCTGCACAGACTTTGGACCTATTGTAGTCTTATTCTCATCCTTTTCTGGCCCTTTACCCTCCTGCTCCAACTCAATCACCAGGATGGATCCCAGGTCTTTTTCACTGTTTGCTGCATCTGGGACTGTTGACAGCTCTGGCTGCCTCATGCAGATGCTGCAGAACCTGGTCAGAGAGGGCACTGACTGAGCTGGGGTTGTGCTCAGCTTCTACCTTGTCCACTCTTGTGGGGCAGGTTCACTCGTGCTGCTCTTTGACACAGTGATCCAAGAACCAAACCTTCCAAATGCAATCCTTTCACTTTTGTTTTGGGCTGGTCCAGCCTCACTTGCCAAATTTCAGATCTGGGAGATGGTGGCAAAACCATTATGAGGAAAAAATTGCAAAAATTTTGAATTCTGTTATTATTTTCAAGCGCTTGAATTTTAATTACATCTGACATTGAATGTTGTCAAATAGCTGAGCAAGGTTGTGGCACAGTATTAACAAGATTTCTTTTTGCTTGATATTGCAGTGGTTACATATCATCTAACAGTATTTTCGAGAAATATTTTGAATGAGAGAAATTTACTGCATATGACTGCATGTATATATGGTACTCATGGTGACACAGGGGACAGATCCCTTCTCCAGTCATTGCAGAATGTACAACAGGGAGAGAAAAATGAGGTACTCTGTCTTAAAGTATTTTAAAATTTGCCCTTTAATCCTTTATTGTACTTCCTACATATTATTTTCAAAATTTCCCATATAGTTAAGTAACATGGTTTTATATTACAATACTGAATAATTTTATTTTAGTCATTTCTAGTTATCGTGGATGCTGTTGACCTGGGAGAACTGGAAAAAATTGTTCTTTTGATCAGCAGTAAAACAGGTGAAATACTTTTTACTTTCCAAAGTCAGTCATGTAAATCGCTCATCTAGCCTCCTGTAAAAGGCAACAAAGTCACTGCCAAAGTTACATCCTAATTAATTCCTTTTGACTATTTTTTCTTAAGAAAAACTGTTTTATAAAGCAAAATCCTACATTTTGACAAATTAAAATCCTGAGATCTAAAGGTTATAACATTATTGCATCAAGAAAGCAAACTATTCCTTTGCACACAAGAAAAAAGAACAGAAAATTAAGATGAATATAATTATATTCTGTGCTTAATACATGCTCTACTAATAAGTTATCTCAGAGAATAATTATAACTCAAGGAAGAAATTGGTATTGTTTAATTTTCCTTCAGTGATTCAATTATTTTCACTGTTTTCTCCCTCAATTTTGTTTTCTCCCTGTGACATTCATAGGGGAATTTTACCTCTGTTTGGCAGTCAGCAAGTTTTGTCGCTGAACTGACTTAAAATTGTCTTGACCTCAACATCTCTCTGCTTTATCTGTAGGATGCCTATCATGCTACTAATTCAAAGAATTCATGATACAGCTTATTGAAATCCATTAATGAAGTTTGCTATATAATGGCAAATCATTACTATGCATTACACATTTTCAGACAGTTTTCTAGGGAAACAACATTTCTGTGGTCAACCAGGTTCTGTATTTCAACCAAGTATGTAAGGTGACTTTCAGCAAGCATGTAGGAACTCCTTGGCTGTTCAGCACATCCCAGGCTGCCTGGGTCACTCCCAGGGGATAAGTGTGGAGCTGCAGCTACTCTGGAGGCAAAGGGAAGGACAGAGACAGCCCTGCCATGCTGCTGCAGGGAGCAAGGCGTGTAGCTGCTCACTGCTTTTGTTTCCCACAGCTTCAGTTGTGCAAGTTAACTACAGCCATCTGTCTGACTGACAGTCACTGAGTGTGGCAATTGAGTGCAGCCAAAGGGCACCGCAGAGAGCGTGACAAGCGAGACTTTTCCATTCAGGTTTGAAAACACAATTCACAAAGGAGGGACATTGGGCTCATTGGTTCTGTGTGTGCTATGAAGAGAGTATTGGGATGATGGATAACAGATATTTCTTCCAAAGGAGTTACTTAGATGATGAAACACTTCAAATGAGTAAGGGTGACCATACCATAACTAGACTTGTTTGAACTGAGACTAATATGGACCAAGACTTTGAACCAAAAACCCCAAACCCATAAAATCTCTTTAAAGTCAGATGTACCCTGCAGGACTGATCAGTCCAGGTTATGTCCTCTAGTTATTTATGCTTTCATCTTTCATTCCTTATCAGAGCAAGTTTTTAAGATCTGATGCTTCATTGTCTCTCCCTGAATCTTCTGGCTCTCTCTATGCACTTATCTTGGCAGGTCATGAGTGTAACACAATGTCCTAGATTCCTCCACAGAAGCATGATTATATCCTATTGACATAATTAAAGGGACTTGGGTAGTAGTAGAAGAGATTGGAATGCAGTTTGTTGAACAGGGCTGAAGCTACAAATAACAGAAGAGAAGGGAAAATTAATAGTCTTAATGGCTAACTAGTGGCACGACACTCAGGCCATGCAACTGAAGCCCCCAGCAGAAAATTCAAAAAAGAGTGTAAGTCAGAGAGCAATCTTTCCCAAACAGTAGAAGGATACAGTGAGCTGCTGAACTCCCTTCCTACCTGCCACCTAATGAGATCCTCTCTGTGCTGCATGTGGAATAGAGCTCCAATCCTCTTGTCAAACAGTCACTGAGGAGAAAGCAACAGACGTGTATTTCTGCTCTTCCTTCTCAAACGTGCCTGCTCGAGTCATGCTGAATCTTTACTGCATGCCTGTCCAAGGACAGTGAGGACAACACTCCTTTACTTCACTAAGACAAAGGAAATGCTTACTCCTGGATTTCTAAGTTGAGCTTTACAAATAGGAACAAAATAAAAAATCTTGTAGTCGTTCCAGTACTTTCAACTCAGCTGTTTGCATTCATAAATTAATGAAAAAATGAAGTTTTCATCTAGTAAGAATGGCACAATTATACCACCGTTATACCAACAACACTACCTAATTTCTTGTCATGCTATGGAACATTTTCATTATATTCTCTTTCCTTCTTTGCAGATTGCAAACTGGGCATTAAAAAATTGCATGTGCAAGAAGCTGTGAAGGAACATCCTATCTATGTATTTGAAGTGAATGAGTAAGTATATTGTGTAAAGCAAGTAATATTTTTTATACCATAATAGGTGAAAGCACTGAGCAGACTCTGAATTAAAGTAACTACCACAGAGTGATTCTGTCAATAGATAATTTAAAAATATGCCCATCTTTAGCTGTTCCACATAAATTCATAGGATTTTTTTTCATTTAACATATTATTTACTTACCAAAAAAATATTTGTTTCTGTTTTCAGAGAATTTTCTGTGAATGCAAATAAGCCCAAAATGCAGAGAGAAATCCCAGCATCTTTTGTTATTAGAGGAGCGAAACAAAAGAATGACATAGATAACAACTTGAAAAAAGAAGGAAGTCAAGTAAAAAGTTTGACAGAGTATACTATTAAAGTGTACACAGGTGACAAAAGGGGAGCAGGGACTGATGCCAATGTGCATATTATTTTATTTGGGAATGAGGACAAATCTGAGGTATTTCAACTCTCTCAGTCACTGGAACATCAAAACCCCTTTGAAAGAGGAAAGGTGAGTACTCAGATTTTATAGGCTGTGTCTGTTTCTGTACTGGAAAAGCAAACATTAAATCTATGCAAGTTCTTTAGCAAACTTGAGGCATTTATTCTGTTTTCCATATCACTATATGAGGTATAGTCTCAGTTCGCCCTGTGTTTCTTCTTTTCACCAGATTCACTAAGGAACATTTTACTTCTATTGCATCTAGCTGCTTCTACTGCTCTCCTGCCTCTGAGTCCCAAATACATCTTAATACTGCATCCACTTATGTGCCCAGTTATGTATTTCCTCACTCTGAAATGCACAGCGTGTGTTGCCTGTGCATGTGAGTGTGTGTGCACTACCCTGAGCCGTTGCACACACCTTGAATATTGTGCTCGAGAACACATCAGTCTCTTACATCCCATCATTTTACTTTGCCATGGAAACTGGTGCTGTGAGCATCCCTGAATGTATAAGCCTAAAACCAGATGAAATGGAACCCTACACATCAGCCTGATTCTGATATCCATCGTGCTTTAGGCTGTTATTCAGAGACCCTCAGTTCAGACACAGGTATTTGCATAAGAATGCACATTCCCTGCATGATGTCCTAGTGCCTTGGCTGGATGTTCTCCTAATTTAATAAACATATTATTCTGGGAAAGAAATTGCTCCGTTTGGTCACCACCTGTGCAATGGAGTACAATGATGGTTACCCTTAAGTAAAAAAGAAATACGTATATATTCTCTGTAAATTTCTCTTGTGGAGTTATTGAAAGGTAATGACTAAATAATTAGAACTCCAGTGAAAATATATCCCTTAAGAGATCTATCTCATTTTTTCCAGCAATATTAATTATCTTTTTAGCTGGCATTAGTCTGAGTTTCTTCAGCCAGGTTATCTGTGAGATAAAGATATTTACCCATGAATTGTCTTCCATACTGAGGATAATAAATCTTGTACCTAGCGGCACAAGGAGCAAGTAAAAAAGTGTCTTGAGCAGTACTTCCTTTTGTGTGGTACTACACAGGAGGTGTCATTACCCTTCAAAAAAGAAAAGTAGATATGTAGAAATCCCATTAGCAATCCAGATAAGTCGATGGGTAGCCAGCGATGTCAAAGGTCTTAGGAAAAAAGAATTTATTTTTAAAAATCTGCAATATGAAACAATGTAATAATTTAAATTAAAGTATATAATATTTGAGAGGAATAATGGTTATTGTAGTTAAAGCCTTTAACTTTTATGTTCCTGAATTTTTATTTACGTATCATATACTAAAACATATTAGAAGACTATACCAGTTGAGGATTCATGAGACCAGAAATGTTTTCACAGTAGATGAAAGTCAAGAAAGAGGTAGGGATTATCATACTATAAGTTGAAAAGTGAGTCTTCTGTGTTGAAACTGAGACCTAATAGGAGACGATCTATGCCACATATCAGTAAAGAAAATAAACCACATTAGTGGCTCACTTATTCTGAATTTCTACTATCACACTTGAATTGGTCTCAAAACTGTCGTAGACAAACATGTAAGTTTCCAAACATTGGTATAGTAATTTTAATAACTGTATTTTAATATTTCAGGTTGATACATTCAAGATTAAGACAAAAAAATTAGGCAGCCTAAGTTCAATTGAAATTGGCCATGATGGGAAAGGATTTGGTAAGTGTTCTGTGTTCAATATCCTTGCAAACATCTTCTGCTTAAGGATCTGCCTGACATTTGGAAAGGTGTTTGTAGTGACACTACTGCTACAGCTAGCTAATACAAATCTGTGTACAAATTAGGTCAGCTTTACTGCCCTTGTTTTCCCCTCCTCTATCACTTTTCTCTTGACCATACCGTAATTTTTTTCTAACAGTGATCAGCGTGCAGCAGGTCCTGCCTTGATGTTAAGTTAGGATGTGGCTACAGAATATAACCACACATGATGACGGAAAATGTTTCTGCTTACAGTAACCTCAAACCCCTGAATTTTATATAAAAATAAAATGGGAGACCAGGGCTTATAATCTTTTGGGCTTACATTTAATAGTGCTAAAACCCTCTAGGGATATGCAGATATCAAGATATATACAGACATATAGAGATATACAAATACATAAACTGAATTTGCAGGGAATGTATAACTTGAATCAAAAAAGGTCTGATTGTATTAAGATACTCTAGTCAGGTGAAGTTTGCTTAACCCATCTCAAAGAAATAGGTTTAGGTTTAATAAATCTGATTAATCTAAGTTCATGAGGCATAATAAAGTGCCAAAGGGTTTATCATTTCCAGGATGAGACAAGAAATATTCTGCAAATAACAATTCCTATTTGGAAAAAGCTAAACAGCTTTTTTATTTTCTTAACTACCCAGTCATGCGGTGTATTTTATGGTGTTGAAAACAGAAAAAAACACCTAACCTGTTGCAACATCTATAATAAACAAGATTGTCCTGCCGGCTTTCATCTTATTTGTGATAAGTGCTATACATACATACAGTTCAGCTTAGATCTGATATGGGAAGGGAACTCCACAATGGCAGACTTTTAGTCCTGAGAGCCTCACAGAAGTCTGCAGGGGAAATAATAGATTGAACTTTTATTTCCTGGGTCCTGATCTATCAATAAAATTATTATTTTTCCCTGTGTCCTGATCAACATCCCACAGCTGCTAATAGTGCCTTCCTAGCACAGCTGGTGTGTGTCAATTCATCTTAGACATGACAACCTTCCTCTAAATATTTCTCTGAAATTACCTCCAAGTGTCTTTTGTCACAGCAGCTGTTATCCCCACAAGCTTCCTCAAATGTTACATTTCTTTGAGATGTCTCATCTGTTTGCTAATATATCCTAGCTACCTCTAGATTTCTCCATACCTGGAGATTTCAGTGAGGTCTGTTGGAGTTTTGTCAATAAAGGATGAAGCATTAGATTTTAATCTTTTCAAGAGAGCAAACTTGCCTTTCTATTCTTTTGTAAAGTGTCGTGTAAATTTGAGAGACTAAAATTTTATTGCTGATAATCTTGACTCTGATTTAGAGATTTCATGAAAGGTCATCTATTCCAAGTAGAGTCTATGATATATTAAACCATTCACAAGATTTCATTAAAAGAGTTTCAAAAGTACTTCACAATATCAATAAATGAATCTTGTGAATTGAATGTGGAATACCTAGACACCTTTATGGTCTACTTAACCCAGCTATTTTTTTTTTTAATGTCGTTCGAAAAAAGAAACAGTGCTGTACCTTTACATTTTATCCAAATCTACACAAATTGCAAATATTTTTATATTGCATTTTTAGCCTGTACAATTAAAATTTTGTATTTACAAATAAAAATATTTTTATTAGCTTTAGCCTACTTAGTACTTCATCCAAATATATGAAAACCAAAATAATTAGATAGGATATAATTCTTTATCTCTAGGACACGTAAAGAGTACCAAAAGGTTGTCAACTGCTAGCAGTATGATCCTAATTAGCTTTAAAATGTTACCATTAAATATTTGCATTGGCAAACACAACTAAAGATATCAGCACAGACATTGTATATATAAAATAAAGTTTTGGGTTTAAAATATTAATATTTTAATATTCTATGAAATAAAATTTTATATCACAAGGATGAAGGTATTTCTTCACACAGCAAAATAGGAGATTAAAGTAGAATATTTAATATCTTCTTAAAGTTGAAACAAATATGAGTGCTGGTCTAAATGAAAATGCTGTTCAGAATCATGACTGCTGAAAAAATAGGGATATGAGAAGCATTCAGTTTCACCACTTGGTTCACATCCATATCAATATATTAATTAGAAAAGAGTAGTAGAATGACCACTAGGAGTGCATTTTGAGTGCATTTCCAAGTTCTTCAAAGGGCAAAATGGGTTTTCAATAATGTATTGAATATTACCATGCACTCTGTTTCATTTGTCTTACTGCCTGTTCTATGCAATCTGGAAAAATAAGTTAAGTTGTAACAAAAAATCTTCCATTACATTTTCTGTCAAAAATATCAAAGACCTTCCCTGTAAAACTGAGAGAACTTGGTAGTAATTTGAATCGTCTGTGCTTCAGTTTTATTATTGATGTTGAATATACTTGGAAGCACTGAACCACATGGGGTTTGGGAAATGAAATTAGAAAGCTTTCTTATGCTGTGTTTGTGTTTTGGTTATATTAAATTTGCTGGGTTGTTTTTTTTTTTTTTCTTTCTACAGCAAGTGGCTGGTTTCTAGAAAAAGTGGAAATCACAGATGCAGCTAGGAATTCAATCCATTGCTTCAACTGTAACAGGTCAGTAGATCAGTCTATTATCACTCTGTACATGTTGTTTTCTTTTTCACATGTTTCTCAGTTGCTTCTGCCTGGTTTTCTAAGACAGGAATGATTTTTTTTGTTTTAACAATGTTGTGTTCCTATCAGTCCATCTGCAATGACTTTTGAAACCTTTGGCCAACTTGAAACTAATTTGTCAGAAGAATTGTTAGAAGAAGACACCAGATTTTTCCAAGCAATTACATCTGGATGATTGTTGGAGGGAGAGACATAATTTAATGCCTTTGCCAAAAAAAGTATTCATATATATATTTTCAAGACGTAGAAGGTGTCTGTTAATCACTATACAAGCATTAGCCCATAAATAGTTCTGGCAAACTTATCAGGGATAAGCAAACAGGCATGGAAGGGAATCAGAAAGGAGGACAGTGGAATATGGCAGCACAGATTCAAAACTCAAGGAAGAAGTAGTGTATTTTATTGGGCAAAGGCAACATTAAAACTTTGGAATCCTTCTGTTTCAATGTTTGCTTAGTATGGGCCCAAGATACATTCAGCAAATAGGAAATAGATTTAAAAAAGCTTTATATAATATAATGCAGAAGTATAGTGATCTAAATTTAGGAATGTATTTAGGTACTGGGTTGCTTGGGTAAAGGGCCTCTGATGTACAAAAAGAAGGTGCACATCAATCTGAAACAATACAGTTTCAAAAACTGGATTTTAAATTGAAGGGTATATTTGGAGTGACTGTTCACTACAATATATAGTTCACAGCTTGAAGAATTTCAGAATAAATAACTGATGCAAACATATTCATGTCCTCCCAAGTGGAAATTAGCTTTTTAATGCATCTGGAGATCACAAAAGTGTGAAAATTTGCAAGTTCCCTGTATCTAGAAAGAGGAATGTTACCTGGTAATCTGAAAACAGAAATGGTAGCCAAGAATATTTAATTTTATCCTTTCCCTAAATATTTCAGTAAACTTGAAAATTAATGGAGACCAAATCCCAGCCCCTGTACCAAAAAATAAGGAACTTTTTAAGTTCTTGGATACTCAGTTGGTCTCTATAGTCTAAATCACGAGAATGTGAGGGTGTTACTGACCTCAACAACATTAAACTTCCCTTGCTTCAACTTCCTCCAAAGGCATGCTCAGATGCTCTCTAATCTTCTAATCTTCTAGGTACCTAAATCTAAGTTAGTAGGCATAAAGAAAATTTCTTAAACTACAATATCAGTCAGATGTGCAAAACAATCCATGACAGGATTTTCAGTTGATGCCACTTCACCTCTTTTGCTTGTAAGAGTTCTTGGACCATACCAGTCAGAGGAAGATTCTTGAAGAAGAAAGACTGCAGCAAACATTTTTTTCCCCAGAGATTTGTGTTCTTTTCAATTTTATTTAAAATCCTATAGTAATAATGCAAAGGTATATAAGAGACTGGCACAAGAACATGAATCACATCATTGATGTGGGGGAGTGACTGGCACAGATTGATTCTACATGCTGCTGACAAGGACATGTAACTGGGGACTTGGTGGGTGCGGAGCTGTGTGCCCACCTTGAACTGTATCAACCTACTTAGACTAGAAGTTATTTAGTAGGAGAGATTAGGAGGTTAACTCCAGAGTACTTAGCCACTCAGAGGCTCCTCAGATAGAGGAAACTCCAAGTTCATGGCCCTCTTCCAGCTGAGACATGGAGTTCCTCATGGAGCTCCTCATCTCATGGCCTACTGAGTGAATGGGGAATGGGCTCATTCTCTCACATTAAAAAGACTCCTCCAATGCAAATAACACCTCTAAAATATATTAATCACTGAGAAACCTGAATCCTTTGCTCACCCATTTAAGGCCTGTTCTCTAGCTTGCACATCACACCTATCCTAGGCTCTGTGACTTCCACATGCAGTTTTAGCTGCTAAAATCAGTTGAGTTTCAGCCTGGACCTGTTTATCTTCAGCCATATCTCCCAGCTGCTGAATAGTGCAGCTCCAGATGTGAGCTACTTTGATGCTGTACTTACAGCCTGGGAATCCCTCCCACACCACCCCCTTCGTAGATGTCACATCAGGTAGGCTGTCATAAACCTTCCAAAGTATAGAAGATTTTTTTCTCTCTTTGGAAATTAATACCACTGTATCCATGGTTCCAGTTAAAATTAGTCCACCCAAACTTTGGACTCGGGCCTGTTTCTCATATAATCAACAGTAAAAGCTCCATAGGCTCTTACAGAGCTAGGATTGGGCCCTTCATGCAACTTAGCATTTTGTGAACCAGCAAAGAGATATGGGAGAGTTCCTGGAATTAATTACAAGGACAATAACTTGACATCACAGAACATGTTTCCCTACTCTAAATTATCCTGATTTTATGTCATTCTTTAGAGCAATTTACTAGTTACCTATATGACCAACAAATAAAATAAAGTATATTTCATAAATATATTAATAAAATTAGTTACACTTTAAAATCACACATATGTGACTACTAAAAGAAAATTTTAAAAGTCACTATTTTCTTCAGGTTGGTTTCTTCTTCTCTATAAACCAATGTAAAAACTCTCCTGGAAAACCAAAGGTGCTGAACCAGACTCTCACAAATTGTCTGTTTCTTAAGTTTTATATATGCTGTGTTTATGACAGGTCTTTATGTTTTTCCCTTAAGGTGGCTTTCTGAAGATGAAAGTGATGGCCTCACCGTAGTGCAACTTTATCCACAGATGCTTGATTTCTGATTCTTTCCGAGTGTGATGCTTCCCCAAATTCATCCTGATTTGATTTACTTGTCTTTTATAATTCTGAAGGCATTGTAATTATTGTGAAGAAAAGTCAAAACAATGTATTAAAAACATCACAGTAAATTAAATATGTCTAATGTGAACACAGAATTCTGATCCTATTATAGATCAAAACTTTGCATGACAGAAATTTAGATATCAGAAACTTGAATCTGTAACACGGCTCTGTGGACTTGAACTGAGCAATCATAATGGTAGACATATGTAGTAACATACTCAAATATTCTTGTTTCAGTAATGATTTGTGGGTAAGCTAAATTTAGCTCATTTCAAATCTGTCAGTATGTGTTAATTTGATGATTTTATTTCATTTTCAGCATTTATTAAAATTTAGATTTTCTCAAAATCATTTTCCAAACAAACTGTACCACCCTTCAGCCTTACTATATATTGCTTCTCTTAAGACTATAACAGAGAGTAATAAAGATCTTGTTATTCAGAACTTCACCCTGTGTCGGTAAGCCTCTCACTGACATTTGATTGTAAAATCTTGTAGCTGAGCCAGAACCTCAGCTGAGAACCTTTAGATCCAAAGGGTCTCTTAAGAGAGGCTGTTATCAGTAACACTGCAATAGCTTAGGCAGGCTTAGGCAGCTCCCTGCTCAGCTTGATGATTTTTGCAGTGCCTCTCCTTAGCTATCAAACCAGCTCTCTACTGCTACATGTGTAAATGCCTTTATTTCAAACAAAAAAACAAACAAACAAAAAAACCCCAACAACAACAAAAAAAGGACACGATTATTTTTGCAAATGCACACTAAAAGAAAATGTATTTAGCTTTAAATGCATAAATTTATGTTTGATTTGGTAGGCTTTCATAGTGCCAGAATTGACTCAGGAAGGATTTAGGATACAGACAAGTCTGAAATGAAATCAGGAACGTGCACACCACCTGAAGTTTCGTATGTGTGATCAAAATACAAATATTTTATATAAGCTATATAAGGCATCCCTCTCTTAATACCAGACTTCACCTTTTGTAGTGCCAAAATCTAAAATATTTCTGAGGACATGAAATTTAGAATTGTTTCACCCTCAAGATACTAACATATTGTGTATCAGCAATGGGCTTTCTATAATTATAAGAAATAAATGAGTTTGTAATCTGTGTTAATAAAAAATTGTCTGGCTGTCTTTTTAATATGTTTAATGTTTATTTACTCACACTATTCTGCGAAATTAGGACGGTTGGCTGGCATTTGCATGGGTTATGAGATCTCAGTTACTTAGACACAAGAAAAAATAATAAATGCCTATGTTTGGCCTTGGTAGGTAATACAACTTTCTAATATAATTTTTATCCATCTATGTCATCAAAAGGACAACTATTGTAAGGTGTGGATGTGGTCAGTGTGAGCAATGAAACACTCAAATTATTTTTTTTTTCTGCTCACACTGCTACCACACTCACTGGAATGGATTTGAAATTCTATCCCCAGAGCCCACAGTTCACTTACTTGGTATCAATATTCATTACACTGAATCACTTCTTTGTGATCTATTATGTGATTTGTTTCATTATTATGTGTTTCATTAATAGTTTGTAATACTAGCTCGCTTTGATGCCATTTCTGATTTATCAAGTGTAAATAATGCCTTCCTAATCTGTTTTTCTTTACTAACAGTGGATGTCCTTCTTCTGCAGCTGCCTTCCATACTTGAAATTTATTTTCTCTACCTATCCAGTGTCCAAATCAGGTTTTGGATTTGTTTCCCTGGATCCAGAATGGTGTCTACAGCTCTCTAACCCTTTCAATAACAGGACCAGCTTTGCAGAGGCCTTCATTTCAAGAACATCATGGGTACTTGCAGCACACAATACCAGGGGATTACATTGTGATAAGAAAATATGAAATACCATATAACCTCCTGCTCAGGTCTTGCTTGGAAGACATGCCAGTTTGCATATTTGGCTTGTGGCTAGTGCCAAATCCCAAAAGTGCTTCTTCCACATGGTATACACTGATGTTGCTGTGTTTGGCACAGAAGTCACTTAATCTCTGTCCCTTGCCAGTGGGATGACTTTTTGGAAAAAATGCTGGGCAAAGACAGGGACATTACAAAGGTGCCTCTTCCTGTGCACTCTGCTGCTCCTGCACAGCAAGGATGCTGCCTGGCTTTTATCCTCCCAACACCATGCCCTGCCTTATGAAGAGCCTGGGCAGATATTGACACTATTGATGCTTCCATGGGGAACAGAAATGTAGCATGGAAAAGAGACTGCCTGGGTCAACAAGCAATCCAGGAATTTGACACACAAAGAAGTCTTGGAGGGAGCAGTGAGGTAACTCAATCAGCTGGAGGAGGCAAGGCTGTAGTGAAGGGTTTGACTTCTACTGCCTCGCTCTCTGCTGCAGCCTGACTGAAGATCTGTGAAAGAATGCAGGCTAGAAGATTTTGCTGCTATTGTTATTAAACATTTGGTTATGCACTGCAGACAAAGCCTGAAGTTGGGTACTAAAATATTTACCCTGTACACCATATCATGGTCTCTTAAACAAAACTGAGTCTGAAAATGCCCATGACAGTCCAGTTAATCCTATCTTTTTTCTTCATCTGCCTCTCCTGGTGTGCTGTTATATGTCTATTATTAGGTTGATCTAGATGATACATTTCTGCCCTTTTAAGCCCTTAAGTGTCTCAGTTTCTTTTGCTGCTATATTTTGAAAAAAATATAATCATGCTCTTACTCATTGGACCATTCTGGTCTCATTGGACCATTTAATATTCTCCCAGCAACTCCAAGTACTGTTTTTCTGAAACTCATCATACACAAGAAAGGATTCCTTCCTTTGAAGTACATATGAGCACTTGTATTGCATCTATCCATCCTGTAGTCTGTCAGCTGTGGAAATGGCATGAGAGTAAGAAAAAAGGACGTATCAAGTGTTCCTTTGAGTTCCTTTAGACATTTTGGATGAATACCATCTAGTCCTTCATTGTTAGTATTTATAAATGTCTTAGCAAATATAAACAACCTCTGCTCACATACCAGTCTGAAATGGTCCTTTGCACTTCTCCATGAAGAAAGCCAGTAGACTGGAAAAGTTCGTAAAATCCTCTGTACTTAGCAGTGCAAAGTACTATCATACCTTCCTGTGCTGTGGCTAAACCCCCTTCTTTAGCTTGACTTAAATTAATTTTAAACAATGAATCAAGAAGGGGAAAGGAAGTGGGACTTTTAATTTTCTTTTTAAATTTTTGAAAATCCTTAATTACATCTTACGGTGTCAGAAGGCATGTAAAATTTCCTTAGGCATTCTATAAATGCTTTTCCCATTTATCATAAAATGTGATGTGCATGGTAGTTGGTTGGTTTTTGCATGCACAATAGCAGCAAAAGAGTTGTCAGCATTGTACAAGGTTGAATAAAGTGAAGCAAGCTCGCTTCCTTACTGTCTTCCTATATCTCTGTCTTCTGCTATCATTCCTTTTATATTTATGTCTAAGGAACTTGAAAGGTGACTGACATCCATTTCTAAATAATAAGTGCAAATTTAAGAAATCCTGAGTTAAACCTTTAAAAAAATCCCAAGAAATAATTTCTTCTTTCAAAGGTAATTTAAAAATCCATATGCTATCTTCAAAGCATGGCTACTGTCTGTCTGCTTAAACCTGGAATCTATTTATCTGTCTATCTATCTGGAGTGTACAGTTGAATTTATTTATAAGTTTCTAATGTTTAGACATTCTGGAAATATAATAAAACAAACCACAGCCACAATACATCATGAAATTTGTGCCTAAAATGTGTTTTCCTAAACAATAAGGATATAATAAACATTCCCACTGCTCTGATTTATAGTCTTACTTCATTTAGATGTACATCTAAGAACCCCACGACATTGGGTCTCTTCCTTTGAGATCTCATGTGGTGGGTGTGTGTGTGTGTGTGTTGGCATTTTCACATGAACCTTAGCATGCTACAGAAAAGAGTCTAAGGTGTACCAAATACACGTATCAATATCAGGGTGTTATAAAGCAAAGTAATTTCAGAAGCCAGAGAACCTTCCAGAGTATTATTTGTGATTGCAAAAGGGGGCTAACATGTGGAGATACTTGATTCATCCTTCTTTTGAAATTTTAATACAGTTTGACTACATACAGAGTATGTAGACCTACAAATAAAATAATCTAAAGCTAAAGAAAGAAACCAATTATTATTTATACTTTTAAAAATAGATAGTATTTTAATATTAGTTTTCTAAACAGCATACCGATTTACAAATATATTTCTGATTTGTGCTTCTGTTAATTTGCTGAAATATTGTCCAAACTGAAAGGAAATGTATCCTCCCTTTTCAAGGAAGTGTCTGAGGTATCACAGCATACAGTGGCATATGCCTGTTCGAATGAAGCTAGTTGGGCAAAAAGACAATTAAGTATTTTAACGCATAGATGTTAAACATACAGCCTATATTACAGCTTCCACTGACACCTGTGTGTATAGTTTAAACATGAATCTATTGAAAATACCTAAAACCTATAAACATCTTGGAGAATTGTTCTTACTTGATGCTCCTAAAGAAATTGATTTCATGCGCATCTGTGCCTGAGGGCACTGTTTTAACATGGAAAAATAGTTAAAACCAGTTGTATGGAAGACATAGGAGTGAGACTATGTCTGATTGAGTGAATGAAAAAATAAATGTTCATCAGAGTCTCCCTCAGATCAAACCAGTTTTGTGTCAAAGACATCTAGA